GACGTGAACAGCGTTTTCAAACATTCAAAAATAAATTTAAATTTAAGTTTTCACCAATTTAAAGCGTTGAAGATTTCTCTATAAGGGATGTCTGGAATCCTTCATCTGGTTTAAAGAGAACCGTTGTGCATCGGGGGAAGCTCCTTCTTAAATGGAAGGTCAGTGGTCACTTGAAATTAAGCTTACACATTAATATAATAATTGAACTTATACAAAATGACAAAAGACAGTTCGATATATCGAAAACGCTGATAGAATTCACAAGGGCGTATACAGAAATAAATCTAGGGTGGGGGCAAGCGCAAAAAAATATGTTTGCCCCCCCATAGGAGCTTCTAGGGGGGGGGGGGCATAATTTGAACCCTAAATTCAAAACATTTGGCTTCTTGTATACATTAAAGGTAAACATACAGTCCAATTACCTTACAAGTAATACTTTATCTCCCCGACAAACAAAACTAGAAGAAAAAAACAGCTAATTAATTTTTTTTATGTTCTCCACTCTTCAATTTCAGATTATGGGTGGGGTGGGGGCACTGCCCCCTTCCCCCCTGTATACGCCCTTGAGAATTAAAAGTAGATTCTTGCACAGAAAATTCGGTCATTCCGATTTGACTCTTCCCTTTTATTTCAGAGAAGAAAAAAACATTGAAATATTATTTATTTCAAGGTGCAATGTCCAATCTATGAAATGTCCTTTTAATTTAATCATGATTGTCAAATGCTCCTTTACAGCAATCTCTCATTTCTGAATTGATATATTTATGAAATCGCTTCACTTGTAAAGTCCGTCTTTAAAATGTATTTTCGTAAATCTTGTTAACAATTAGAAGACTTAAATTGTCTCAGTTCCTTAAATTAAGCATGAACTGGATGATGGAAAGACCGAGTATATTTTGTAAAGGTTTGCTTTTGTCAGGAAAGAACAAATCATGGTTTGCATTTTACTGAGAATATTTAAGAAAGGGCAAACTCAGAATTAATCAGTTGAATCTTAGCTTCCCGTCTCACAACATGAAGTTCACAGTAAGAATTTAACTGCTTTACATCTATTCTGAATTTCCTCTGCTCTAGATAGATTTGTATTGCTATAATATTTTACCAAAAGTGCTCTTAGCTGTTTAGCTTACTCTGAATGCTTTTAACTTAAATTTTAATTTCAATGCTCTTAACTTTTTCTCACTCTGAAATTTTAATTTTACTTTAAATGCTCTTAACTTTATTTCTAGCTAATTTAATTGCTTTAACCTTAAGTTCAACAATTGTAAGCTTATTCTAAATGCTTTTTACGTAAAGCTCTTAACTTTTTAGCTTACTCTGAATGCTTTTAACTTTAATATTACTTTAAATGCATCTTAGCTGTTTAACTTAGCTTATAACTTTGATTTTACTTTCAATATTCTTGAATTTCCAACTTTACTCTTAAAGTTTCTAAACAGCTTAATGCATATTACAGTGAATACCTTGAACTTTCATTATAATTTATTGCATCAAACATTTGCGTAAGAAAGCTGCAGCATTGCCATTTTCATTTTTTAATTTTTAAGATCGGGCCAGCTTTCAGAAAGTTTTTCAATATTTTCTAATTCTGAATATTTTAGATTGTTGTTGCTTCCAGCTTGCTTGCCTTGGCACTAGGAGATGCAGGCTATGGAGGTGGATACAGCAGAGGTGGAGGATTTGGGGGCTTTAGTGGTGGTCGTGGTGGAGGATACAGTGGAGGTGGAGGATATGGTGGATTCAGCAGAGGTGGAGGCTATAGTGTAGGAGGATATGGTGGTGGTCGTGGATATGGAAAGCGTTCAGCTGAACCTGGTTATGGACATGGTCATGGAGGTTCTTCCAGTGGTCAGGGTGGTCATGGACATGGTGGATATGGCAAACGTTCAGCTGAACCTACACCTGTTGAACATGGATATGGTAAAAGATCAGCAGAGCCTGGCTATGGAGGTGGATTCAGCTCCGGAGGCTACGGAGGTGGACACAGCTCCGGAGGCTTCAGAGGTGGATACAGCTCCGGAGGCTACGGAGGTGGACACAGCTCCGGAGGCTTCAGAGGTGGATACAGCTCCGGAGGCTACGGATACCATGGATAGACTGTGCGGCTTCACAAGACGAGAAGAATTGGATTCAACTTTAATGTTTGTTATCAATCAAGTGTAAAATGGATCGATATGAATAAAATTAGATTAGCGCACATTTAAGTAAATAACTTTTCAATGTGTATACTCTTCTTTAAAGGACTGTGCAAAATGAAATCTCAAATTTTTGGTACAAATGCGAATTTCCAACAAAGTCTATAAGGTAAGAAGAATTGTGTTAATGTTTGGTCATTCAGAAATCATGATTTCTTTCAACATTTTATGATTTTCAAATGTCGAAGAGAGATATTCCGGAAAAGGTAAAATTTCTATTAATGAAGTTCAGCTATTTATTGAATTAGAGAGAGGTTGCTGAACTACCTATCATTGGTTCAAATCCTGAATCAACAAATAAATTTTCTAACATTTAATCTGGGATTTAGGATATAGAGATTTCAGCAACTTCTCCATTTTATTGAATTAGGGCTCTGGTTAGGTTATTTATAGATATTAAAAAACATGTAATTAAATATTAAGAATTCTGTCATTTTCTTATAATTTTTGAATCATCGCATAAATACTTCTTGTCATTGCTAAGAATCTCTCTAAGGGACTGTGTAAGCGTAATCTCAAGTGGTCCACCATGCAAAGATGGCAATGCCCAATTCACAAGGGTACCCTTGAAACCTTTTGCATATCAATAATTTGGAAGATAATGTAGTTTTTCTGTAAATTTGTTAAAAGCAAAATTGTTTGACCCTATAGGTCGTTTTACTTTATGTCGTTTGACCTTATAGCATTTGACCATAAGTCGTTTGATCCCATGTCGGTGAATTTTTTTCTTAAAAATGGGGATAACTATTTGCATTTATAAAATTAGTACAGTTATAGTTCATGGCCAAAATGCCTGAAATTAGTTAATCTAATTAAAGGGTAAGCGTAATTTCAAGTAACAACGGCACCTTTGAAACCTTAATCTGATAAAAAAATGTGGGAGATATCTTTATTTTTCTGGCTCAAAAAGTGTTTATTTCTGCGAATTTCTACTTTCTCCATTGCTTCTTATAAACAAGAAATACGCAAGTCATTTTTGCAGAAAAACCACAAATGAAAATTAACAGTTTAAAGAAACAAAAACATGGATTAATAATTCATACTTGATCAGACAAAGCTTTCAAGTGTACCACTGTGGACATTGCCATATGATTGTATATGTGGAGGGTCACTTGAAATTACGCGCTAACTTTCCATTGATCTTAACTTTTGTTTATTATAGACAAACACTAATTTTTCTGTGTTATTAAAATTTGAAAATTAATTTGAAGTACTAATTCTGAATGAAAAACATTTATAATAAGTTAAAGTATAACGTTCATAAAGACAGTGTTTCATTTTAAAATAGATTAATAAAAAATGAAAATAAAAAAAAATAAAAATTTAATCATTTATTTCCAAAATATGTTTAATACACAACTGTGGTTTTCTGTAAATAAGTAACTCCACAATAAAGACTGAATATATAATATTTAGGACTTTCTTTAGGTTAACCCATAAAAGTCCCCCCCCCTCCTGCACCCTTTGAAAATAAGGCCTCCAAAGTCCAAACCAAAAAATGGTGATGCAATGATGTAAGGTCACCCCTAAACCTTTACTTTCAAAATAAATTTCAATTTTAAATATTCATCCCTAGTGCTGAAACAACATATCCAATTCCAAGAATAAAGAATCCAACCGCTACATGTTCAACATTCATTTTCTCCTAAAAATATTTATACAAGGAAACCCAACATAAATAGTTTGTAATTTTAATTTCATTTTTAAATGAAGAAAGAAATTATTTTTACATACACTTGACTTCTAACAAGGGTTTAATTTCTAATACAGAGTTACCCACAAAGTATGAGACTGTAAAGACGACCTGAAGCTCTTAAGAATGATGTCCTCTGCCTTAACGTATTTTATGATTTGGTAAACAAAGAAACAAGTTTACATGGTTGCAGTGAATCATGAATATTAGGAAACAGACTGTATATATTCCGTAAATTCGCCTCTGAAATCTCATCCTTTGTGGGTAACCCTATATAAAAAATAATATTAATATTTCCATCACTTAAAAAATGTTTATTTTGTTTATTTTTTTATAGTTTATGTGAACTAGCATACATCTTCAACCAATGTTCCTCCCCCCCCCCCCTCCAGAGAATCCCAAGGGGGGGGGGGATTTTTTGGCAAAGGTAAAAAATGAGATTGTCCCCATCTGTGCAAAGGGATTCCCCCCTCTCTTATCCACAGTTACTCGATGAACAATTATAAAGCTATATGTATGTATTATGCAATTATTTGACAAGTCTTCCAGCAACCCCCCATATATGGGGAGACTACATTCATGGGGAGAAGGGGTGGGAGAGACTAAAGAAGACGGAGGACTAATGATAGTCTTTAGGACTACTTAGGACTTCAGAGAGTAATACAGAACTATATATAATAGGGTATATTATAATATATCACTTGCTAAAATCCTATGTACGCGCCTGTCCACATTATTGGTAAGATGAAGAATTTAAGGGAATCAGACAAAGCATTTCTTACTGGAGTGTCACTTGAAATTACAAAGTCAGTCCCTTTAACGGTCAATCTGTCCTATTTTATTTTTACTGGGGAAAATAATGTTTATTATTTGTATTTTTACCATTTCAGATCCATCATTTGCAGTTCTATCTACTTGCAGAAATCTTCTTATTTTTACATTAAACCCGGCCTGTAAAAGATCACATATTTAGTTGGATTGTTATTCGGTTATTCGGTTATTCGGATAATTGGTTATTCGGTTATTCGGTTATTCGGTTATTCGGTTATTCGGTAATTCGGTTATTCGGTTATTCGGATATTCGGTTATTCGGTTATTCGGTAATTCGGTTATTCGGTTATTCGGTTATTCGGTTATTCGTTATTATTCGGTAATTCGGTTATTCGGTTATTCGGTTATTCGGTTATTCGGTTATTCGGTTATTCGGTTATTTAAAGTTTTTTTTAAATCCCAATTTCTATAGCTTTGTACACATGAAAACTAAGAGAGGACTTGAATATCGTCTTTGATTTCCGAAAATTGTTTAATGACAGTGCAGTGCAGAAATAAAAGATTCATAACGTCTTCTGAGCTTTCCAAAATATGGTCTACCTTTCTACCTTTCTTGTATCATTAAAATTGACGAAGATATTAAACATTTGAACAGTTTTGTTGATTTATAATCAACTGGAATCTGAACAAATTTATAATATCTCCGTCAATTTTTAAGGTAAAAAAAGTTTTAAAAAATGGTAGACCACATTTTGGAAATCCCAAGACTAATAGATTTCGGTGTTAAATGTTTTAACAGTTCTACTACAAATTTATATTTACAAAATAATCCCGCTTGGAACAAAGAAGACGAAATAGAAGTCGTCATTTAAAATCCATGTTTATTGGGACACCCTCCTGTACATAAATAAGCCAAAATTACTGTTTAAAGATCCTCAACTAGGATTTACTATCAATAGAATAGTTGACAAAACAGATTATTTGGTAAATATGAATATTTTCTGTTTATTTTTAGATCATTTTTAGATAATTGGAAAGTTTAATGAGTGTGGTTTTATATTTATTTTCTACCAAATTTACCTGATCACAAAGCAAAATATGATGATCTAAAGGTTTCAGCCATTTCGAGTCTTTCTGAACAATCCATCCAACATAGTAAGCTGCTACTCTCTCCTTTAACCATTAGGTTCAAAATCACAACAGATATGTTTTTCAGAATTAGATTAAAGAAAGACCATGGTTAAACTTTAATGTTACAGTCTCTTTCAGGCTTTACAAAATTCCAAAAATACTTGTTGATTTTAGTCAAAACTTGGTGTATTAGAGCTTTAATTCATGTATCTTTTCTTTTGGATACCCATAATCCCGATCCACAGATCTTGATATCCATAATAAGTACTTTTTTCTTCTCTCATTGGTTTAACGCAAAATTCCTTTGCTTTTGATTGGCTGTTTGTTTTCTACACTTCATGGGATATCGAAAAAAGATTAAATTCATCTGTAGACTAATAAAAGATTCAGATCAAGCATTGATCTTGATATCCATAATACATTATACATATACATAATACATATCCATCAAGCATTGATCTTGATATCCATAATACATTATACATATACATAATACATATCCATCAAGCATTGATCTTGATATCCATAATACATTATACATATACATAATACATATCCATCAAGCATTGATCTTGATATCCATAATACATTATACATATACATAATACATATCCATCAAGCATTGATCTTGATATCCATAATACATTATACATATACATAATACATATCCATCAAGCATTGATCTTGATATCCATAATACAAGAGTTCCCCTCCTCTGGGTGTTATTTTTTAAACAGTCACAGGAATAGGGAAATCACAAAACCCTATTTCACATTTCAAATTTCAAATATATACAGTACTAGCCTTATAGGGCGCTTCGCGCCCTTCTTCTAAATTAATTGTGAACATCTTCTCTTTTTGTACATCGTAAAACAAAACAAAAATAATTCGCGGATTTTCACAAAAAAAATTTCGTGGATTTTCAAAATTTTCAAAAACTTAATGAAGATCGAATTTTGATGGAGACAAATATTTGAAATTTTGATCATTCATAAACCTTCCCTGTGGTCACGTGATGTCCCACAAAAAATTTGGGCCCGATCGGTTCAGCCGTGTTGACGTTTATTGGATATAAACAAACAGACAGACAGACAGACAAGCCAAATATATATATAGATGTGAATATTCTGAGTTTTATATAGATTACCTGGAAAATATGCTTGTCAATGTAAAATTATCAAGTTCTCTTTAAAATAAAGAAAAATACTAGGAAACTCAAATCTTCTAATCCCTATATCTTTGCAACCTGATGTACCTTTGAAATTTATAACTTAGATTATTTAATCTAATGACAGTAATAATAGTGTGAACTAACTAAGGTCTACGACATTGGGTTTTAAAGATACAGGGGTTATACAATCAGAGTTATTGGCAAAGACTTAATTTTGTTTTCGATAATGAAAATAATATTTATTTGAAAAATGAATTTACCTTACTGAAGTAAAAAGCAGGTTGTTTCAAAGCAGAAGTGTCAATATACGTGTTTGCAAATTGAAGAAAAGTGTCCTAGACAAATAGTCAAGTTTTTTCCTTCAAATTTTATATCAAACTGAAAAAGGCAGAAAATATAAGCTGAATGATTTTTCAGATCAGTCGTTCACGTATGTATATCTTCTGTTCCGCTCAAAACATGAATCAAATATAAAGGCAGGTACAAAGGAATTTAGTTTTGTCACAAAATTAAATTTTTAAATCCCAATATTTTTGGAACCTGATGGAGTATACCTTTGATATTTCAAAATTAGATTATTTGATCTAACAGTTTACTTAGTTTGAAATAAATAAGGTCTAAGACATTGGGTTCCAAAGATATTGGGATTGGAAAATCAAAGTTTGTGGCACAGACTCAATTCCTTTTGAGGTTTTGTGAGAAGTTGATTAGCATTCAAAATAGTTTAACCGTACAATTTTATTGTATTAGATGTCTGTGGGGTAATTAATACGTATTGTTGCAGTTTCAATCCTTATAAAGTAGCAATCTCTCTCCGTCTGTTTGTGTGTATGTTTTTGTTTATAACTCAAGAACTTCTTGAATTTGCATAAAATTTTGATATCAGATACAGTGGTAAGCGATTATAGCAATACAGAGAAGACGACTTTTTTATTTAAGTTTTGATTGTTTAAAAGCTTTTTTCGAATTAAAGGTTTACAAGTAAAGACAGAGAAGACTTATAAATTGATAGATTCTCTTGACTTCTATGTTTATGTGTATCTATGCTGCTTGACAGCTTGGAATAAATCAAAATTGAAATCGAAAGCCGTCTTCAATGTATTAATATAATCGCCTACCACTAGGGTTTCCATTTTTCCGGAAAAAATTTTCATTTTGGAAACGGAATTCCGGGATAATTCCGAATCAAATGGAAACCGAAATGTTTACAGTTCACGTTACGTAAACCGGAATTTTTTCCGATTTACGGAATGGAAACCGTAAATATAGTGAGAACCAGAAAATAAAATAAAAAAATTAAGAAAAAATCCTCTAAATTACTATTTATTATAAGTCACAAAATTTCACGGTGACAGTGTGAAAAATAAGAGTGCTAAATCAAAAATACTTCAAACTTCAAACTTCAAATGCCCATTTATAGGGTAAACCTATTTGCTTTGTAACAACATCAAATAGACTTAAGGATTGCTATATTTATGTCGTCTTCCTTTCCACAGTTTTCTGTAGATCAAATTATTTTGAGACATGGCAGTCAGTATTTACTATTTATATTTCACAGTAGTTTATCTTTAACTGCAGCTAAACCAGGCACACATTCTATTATTATTTAGATAGTATTACTTACTGGTTTCATCTTTTACATAAGTTTAAGATGTCTTTAACGTTTTCCGGAACCTTTTCCCGGAAAATTCCGGGGAAAAATCGTTCCAGAATTTCGGATTTCCGGAACCTTATCCATAATAGAAATGGAAAAAATTTCCGGATCATTTCCGTACGTAAACCGAAACCCAATTCCGGTGGAAACCCTCAGCTTGGTTTTATAATTTTATATTGAGTGCGTTCACTTTTTTTAAAGAAATGTTTGTTACAGGCAAAGCTGGGTTTACAAGCTTTATATATTTATAAAGCAGTAATTTCTGTTTGGGTGACGTTTTGTTTGTTTGTATGTCCGTCCATGACTTGCAGGAAACACTTTTGACCATTTAGCGTAAAATTTTGATTTTAGAACCTGGGAATCTTGGGAATGTTCTAAGCTCGGTTTAAAAGATCTAACCAGGGAATAGAATTAAAGGGAATGGAAATGGGACTGGCCTGGCTTGAGAAAGTCAGACCCACTGCTTTACAGACGGGTTCCTTATTTTAGCGCATTCGCGCGAACACACTCAGCTAGCTATACAGTCAAGAAAAGTGCAAACAAAATTATTTTTTTTTAATCTAATTGTATAATAGGGTGACCTACCTTGGATCCATACATGACAGTTTTTCCTGCTAAAGTCTGATTAATTTTATCAGCCTACAATATTGTAAATTTAATGAAAGTTTTATGTTAAGCAAGAAGTGTGCACGACATCAGGCAAAATGGAAAGAATTTGACGTTGAGTTTCAAACTAAAGAAAATGGTTTATTAGAAAGAGTATAATATTAAAGGGACTGTAAGCGTATTTTCAAGTGACCTTCCATTTAAAGAGGGATATTCCTGATTCAAAATAGTACACTTTTATCCCTTGACTGATCATCAAGGACGGAGAACTCTTTCTTTGTATTGTAAACTCACCATCCTTGAACTCAGAGATGTTAGCCGTTAGATGGAAATTTCTAGGGAATAACCCATAGTCAAAAAACAACAAATTGAACCCCTTCTTATCATGTTTCTATGCCGAGAGTTAGGAGTAACAGGACTATTCTGTCGGTAGAGAAAACATAATCAGCAGCCATTTTATGCCCCGAGGGAGGGTCTTGATGAAGGATTAAAAGAGGAGAGTGGACAAGTACGGCCAGGAGGCGGATACCTTCATCTATGATTCAAGGATTAACTTTGGTTGACCCATAGTATTTAATATCTAATGTAAAATAAATGTGTGTGCAAACGTTGCGTATTAATAGATCCAGTCTGGATTGTTTTTATTGGTTTCCTCCATAGAGTTTCTTTAATTAATTCTCAATCAAAGTTAATAGTATTGTAACAGTGGGCGAGTTTTGTTGATCTTTTACGATCAGCAATTCAAGGATTTTTTGGATCGCTGAGATCATAGCTACCAA